TGTGCTTCAGGATGATGTGAGAGGACACTATTCTCACATATTCTTATCTAAATTGCAAGTACAAAAAATGCTTACACAAAGCAAATATATTTATTAGTGAAAATATGCAGAAGAAAATGACTGAATTATCTTATAATAATTACTAATTTACAATGAAGTTTTATTTTTACTCAGGAATGTAAAAATACATAATCACAAGGTATATCTTATAGAATATATTAGTATGTTTGTGCAGTGACTTCAGAAACTGCAAACTGGTTGACAGGTGTTTCATGGATCTTGAGAGAATGGGGCTGTGTGAGAGGGGAGAAAGGACACATTGTCCCTCATAGAGAAAAAGGATGAATGAAGACCTGAAAAAGACTACAGAAGACAAGCCTGGGGCCAGAAAGACTGATCAATTTAGAGAGGAATTAAGCAGAATTGGTAAGTGGATGGCAGAGAGTCAAATTCACCCACCTCTGGGGTTGTATCAATATCCTTTATGTGAAACAGATTTTAGTTTATAGTTCTGTAAAATGGTGGTCATGAATAGAAACAGCTTCATGAAGGCCAGCCCCTCTCCTGCACAAATCCGTTTTCTTAGAAAGAAAGGAGAAATCAACCTGGTATTGATCTAGAAAATGTATTTCTATTGCAGCAAGGACTACATGTACTACCAGAGGAGAACAGCATTCATTAGTCATATTCATCTGTGTATGCTGTGATCTATGATAATGACCATTTCGCAAAATATGCCTACTGGTTTAACAGTGGCACAGATTCCATGTGACTGTCTATGTTATGAATGGATTCATGGCTCTCTCCATAAGATGGAACCAATAGCTGGCTTAGCTGTTAGAACTAAGAACCTGTGACTATATCCAGGTTATAGGCATGAAGATAGAACCCACTATTACTCTGCTAATGGGACATAGAATTAAGCCAATTCCTCACAACTTCTCATTATACAATAGTTAAGTAAATATTTCACCCTTTACTTACTTTTGCAGTAAGATGTCAGTCAATATAGAGAGATATAACTGGTAAACATATAGGAATACTGACTGTAGGGTACTCATCCCTAAATAGGCATCTATATCTCTTTCTCTGTCTCTCTGTTTCTGTTTTTTTCTCTCTCTCAGTCACACACACACACACACACACACACACACACACACACACAGAAACACACATACCTTCCTTGGCTCAGAGATCATTGGGCAACAGTGGGCAGAAATGCTGGAAAAGCCAGGCATAGTAGATGACGACAATGAAACAGTGTTTTTCTGACACAATAAGGCAGTTGCACAAATGAACTCCATGCAGTTGTAATAACATACAACTGACCAAGCCCAAGCCAGATAAGACATGGAAGTCAGCAATAGCCATGAAGGTCATTCCTACCTGAGAAGCTATCTTCCAGATAGCTTCTGGAAGAGGGAGAGACAGTTTTATTTTTTTAAGGGTGTGGTCCCTGGTAGGTCTAACACACAGTACTTGATTGCCAAACACTCAGGCTTAGAGAGACAGCACCAATTAGACTCTATGGATTAAGCTCAAACATGAATGAGTACACAAAGTTGGATGTGTTTGGGACAAAGATCATATCTAGAAGACTGGAAAGATGATAGATATCATCTAATTATTTATGAAAATTATCAAAGAATTAAGATATTAACAAAAAAGAATCATTTGTTGGAGTAGTCACCTATCCATGATCAGACACTGAATGATTTCACTTGGCAATAGACACAATAACTATGATGTGACAAGTAGTAATTGTAACTGGCACCCAGACTTTAGAACAACTGATTTCATGATGGAAGTAGCACTTAGGTTACAAAACTCACTTGTTTTTTGGCTCCTGTAGTTTTCCTTCTGGCTAACCATTCTTGTTAACTGAAGTATGTCAACCCAGAAGATATTTTCTATGCTTAAAGCTCACCCTGAGAAAGGATTGGGCTTCTCTGGGATCCTGAATGTCCAGTCTAGTTGACAACTGGCTAATAAAGACTTTCTATTGGTTTAACCCCAAGTCTGAGCAGTGTTCTCTGGTAGGTACTCTACAAAAGTAATCTTTTATGTTACAACTTGTTACCCACTTCCCATTTTTTCCTCTAAAGACAATTGCTCTGAACCATGCTTCTTGAGCTTAGGGGTGGAATGGTGTGGGCAGCCCTTTGGAAACCAGTGCTGTATGTTGTACCCTATCCCAACCCCATAGCTCAGTTATGCTCTGAGGATAGCTCAGCATTGGAGAAAGACCAAGGCCATGCTGAACATATTTCTGATTACCTCTGAGGTTGAAGTGTAGCTCAAGATTTGAGCAGCCACACAGAGATGAGAAATACACAGATTAGGACATATGTTTCTAACCTACTCCATAGGGTCTGGCGATCAGCTAGTACTCATGACATAGAAGCCATTGGATCTCACCAATTTAAGAGTTTACCAACATTCAATATACTTTTCAATATATAGTCCTGTGCTCTTTAGTCTAGCCTATGTTAAATAGAATATAATTGTTTCTCTGGGAATTTAGATCAACAGGAGTTGGGCAACAAATTCTGTTTACCCTGCTAAGATAACAAGACTAGAAGACTTTGGGTCACTATAGGTCTGATCTACTTATTAAATGGATTCTAAAGATCATTAAAATATAACTTTTATGACCTTCATGTAGACAAATGATGGTCCAATTATTAACTAGGCTGTAAAGATCATTAAAATCAAACTTTTATGACCTCCATATCAAAATTGATAATGTAATTATTAACTAAATTCAATTTTTTTTTGAGTGGGACCAAGTAAGGTTGATATTAAATCACCATATACAATCAGTAAGGATTGGTGGATGCCATAGAACTGAATGTTTTTTGGAGAAGAAAGGTAGAATGAGGCTTCAAAGTCTGGTTTTATATCCTGTATTCTATGTCTGGCCAAAGCACCAAATCTCCAATGCTCACCTTTAAATCACTAAAGGGAATAATTTTTGATTAGAAAAGGAGATAGATATTGGGGTGAGCATTTTAAGAATATTCATAAAATATGTGATTTATGACATATTGTATAACAGTTTTACAAAACAATTTTCCATGCTAGGGAAGCATAGGGATATCAGCTTAGTCAATTTAGAACAAACATGATGACATCTCTACAAATGAATGCTTTGCTTGAGCTTTGTTATTATTATTAGAATAATACATACAATTTCACTCATATTTGTATCTTTATGGTCCTGTGTCCTCATATTCCATACTGAACACTCTGGTTATTTTATACTATGATTTCAAGCATCTCAATGCACATATGATATTTTAAAGCCACAGAAAGTACTCTGTATTCAACCGCCTTTACTGCATAGTAAATTATTTTTTTTTAGCAATTAGATAATTATGATGACTAGTTTTAATGCAACTTTCCACGAGCTAGAGTTATTTGAAAGGAAGGAACCTTATTTGAGAAAATGCTTCCATAAGATCAGGCTGTAGGCATATTCTTAACTAGTGACTGATTCAGGAGGGCCCACCTCACTGTGGGGGGGGGGCATCCATGAGCTGGTGGTCCTGGATTCTATGAGAGAGCAGGCTGAGTGGTCATGAGAAGCAAGTCAGTCAGGGACAAGCCTCCACGGTTTCTGCATAAGCTTCTGCTTCTAGAATCCTGCACTGCTTGAGTTTCTGTTCTGATTTCTTCCAATGATGAACAGTGATGTGGAAGTGTAAACCAAATAAACTCTTTCCTTCCCAATTTGCTTTTGATCATGATGTTTCATCACAGCAATAGTAGCCCTACCTAAGACAGGAATAAAAACAACAAAAGAACTTCTGTGGGGGAGACTGTAAAATGAAGGATCGACAGTTCTCAAGCACTTTTTACTCAATTTTCTGATGTTTCTGTGGTCATTTATACTAAGATGGATTCACTTCTGGAGTGGTGTGACAGAGACAATCCCAATACCTTTCTTTAAGGAGTTGTATGGCCATTAGCTTGGTGTTTTGTGGAACTCCTAACAGTGAAAGTAGGTGTATCCCTGCTTTTGCGTGCTCATGGAACTCTCTTGTTGGCATTGGTTGGCCTTGTGCAGCTTTGGTATGAGGGCTCTTACTTGTTTTACTGTATCTTGATTTGTCTCCTTGTTATCTCTTGGTGGCCCACTTTTTTTCTTAAGATTAAAAAGAGGGGAGTAAATCTTGGGGAGAGAGGAGGTGGGAGGAGTAGAGGTAGGGAAAATTGTAGTCAGAATATGGTATAAAAATGATAGAAAAGAATTTGATATAAAACCAATATGAATAACTATGACCATCATATCTCACTGAATTATATTTTATTTTGTCAATGAACTTTGTAATATTGACAGTTTTGTTTGTATTTGTTTAGAACAAATTACAACAGTCTTGTCTTTCCATGACTTGTGTTATACAGTGTTATATCAAGGACAGGATAATACATGGTCTTTTAGTCAACATGTCAAGAAACAGAAGGCACAAATTATTTAGTTGTATTTGTCAGAGTCAATTATGTACTTTCAAGGCTACACCTACTGAAAATGAATGTGCAAATGTTTAAGACAACAAATAAATAATTAAAAAATACAAGTAAGTGTGGGCATGGTGTTGTGTGCATAAACCTGTAACCTCAGGAAGATAAAGCACATTAGTAGTAAGTTTGAGGTACATCATGAGACTTTGCTTGTAAACAAACATATTTCATAGCATGTATAAGACATCAATAAAGTAAAAAAATCTTTACCTGGTAACCAATCACAGAATCAGTAGATTTAAGGAAATAAAATTTTTAGTAATTTTCTTCTATTCAATTATTAACCTTAATACTTTCAAGGACAGTGGCACTATGTAAACATCAGCTTTGCTTTTAAAATTACTATGCATGGATTGTATTACAAAAAGCCTCTAAAGTGCACCTAGTAACAAGGACAGGCATGAAGAACATATTACTTTTGTGTTTATCACTAGAATAAAGTTCACTCAAAAGAGAGATTAAAAAGTGTCTACCTGATTAGTCAGTTATGATGTCCTGTTGATTCAACAGCTACATGATAAAAACTCTGTGCAGCCTGTTCTCAGCTTTGTTAGTAAGAAGGGGCTCCATGGATCTGCTCACATTTCTGGTGCTCACTCTCTTCTGTCTGCTTCTTCTCTCACTCTGGAGACAGAGGTTGGGGAGGGCGAATCTCCCTCCTGGCCCCACTCCTCTCCCACTTGTTGGAAACATCTTTCAGATAGATGTGAAAGACATCACCCAATCTTTAACCAATGTAAGTATGACTTATGCTCCTCCAGTACTTTGTAAAGAAATATAAATTGAACTCTTCTGTATTGTTTAAAAATTTGAGATTAAAATATAATGATACTATTATTTTGAGATTATATATATTCCCTCTTTTCTACTGTCTTTCCAAATGCTACCATACGTCCCTCCTTGTTCTTTTTCAAATTCATGGCTTCTTCTTTTATCAATTGTTGTTATGTTCATATATGTATGCATATATGTGTATATATGTAGATTCATAAATATAACCTGTATAGTCTGAGTCTGTATAATGTTATTTGTATGCACGTTTTCAAGACTGGCCAAAATATTATTGTAAACAATGTTTGTAAAGTAAAAAACCTCAGTAAAATTACATGCACCTTAAGTGTTTTTAAGATTCTCCCTATCAAAAATTGAGAAATTTCTATTGTGAATTAGAGAACTTTTGGGTCCATGTATATTATAATAAAATTTGCAAAACTGTAGAAGTTGTGCATACTTCTTCCCATCTTTATTTTATTTTAATTTCCCACAATTCATTGTTAAATATTTCTGTTAAAGGACACATCACATCATCCAACAAGTCAGGTAGCATTTTAGAGATGTATATTTACTGACATTTGCCAGTGGTACTGAAGTTCGGTGAATAACTGATGTTTTATTAAAATAAAATATCAATGTATGTGTAGTAACACACACACACACACACACAAAACGACTAATCAGTGTGTCAGGGCATATTTGATACTCTCCAAATTGACTTTTATTCTTTGGTGCCTGGGAACATGTATGCTCCAGGATAAAAAACCCTTCTCTTAGCTATGCTCATGCTGAATGCTGCTTTAGTGGTACCTAGTCTCCGTGTTTGTAGTAATGACAGAATGAACCTCAGATGCTTGGTATGGATTTCTACTCTTCATCATGTAAGTCATTTCCACAGAAGAAACTTTACAGGTGTTCCTGCAGCAGTTATCTGTGCAGTCATACTTATTTTACTATGGGCAAACATGGAAATAAATTCCTCAGGCCTCAAGAAATAACCCCACCCCCCCCAAACAGAATGCCAGTGCTGAGTCTTTATTCATTAGCAGTTCAGCTCTGAAATTAATGTGGAAAACTCTTTCCTCAGTTACTTTTTGACACATGTCTAAGTATCAACGGCCTGAGCCATCAAATTGTACATTGTCCTCACCCACAGGTTATAATTACCCATTGCTTTGCTTTCCAATTTCCAGTTCTCAAAGGTCTATGGCCCCGTGTTCACTCTGTATTTTGGAATGAAGCCCACTGTGGTGTTGCATGGGTATGAGGCAGTGAAGGCTGCTCTGATTGATCATGGGGAGGAGTTTTCTGGAAGAGGAAGCTTCCCAGTGGTTGACAAAATTAATAAAGGTCTTGGTAAGTAAGAGTGCATGTTCATGTGTGAGCTGGGCGGTATTCACAGTGAGGAAGAAGATATAAAGTGAAGGCCAGAATTGCTTCTGGAGCTCAGGTTGGGCCTCTGTGTTATTGGTGTTCTCAGATATTTTTTCTCTTCCTGGAATCACTTTAAGTTTCTGTTCCTATTTGTTTAGGAATTCTTTTTAGCAATGGAAAGAGATGGAAAGAAATAAGGCGCTTCTCAATCATGACCCTGCGGAATTTAGGCATGGGCAAAAGGACCATTGAGGACCGAGTTCAAGAAGAGGCTCAGTGCCTTGTGGAGGAACTGAGAAGAACCAATGGTGAGAAAATCTTTCTGTTTTGACTTTTCCATCCTGTTCTAAGTTTGGGTATACAAGATCTATTGATATTATTCTATTTCAAATGTCTTTCTTTTGTTTTTGAATCAGGTATCATAAACACAGCTTTATTGTAATTTTTTGATGAGTTATATCTCTACTACAACTATAACTTACTTTTTGCTGATCATTCCTTCAGAGAAAAATTGCTACTGATAATGGAGGCGGTGACCTCATCTACACTTATGTGGTCCAAACCTGATGATATTTGTGTTGTTGATTATTATTATTTATTATTGATTTATCTTTTAGTTAAACAGTGGTTTTTCCTAAACCAGCTGTATACCCAAATCACCACACAGATACAAGGATGTATTTAGTTAACCTAGAGCACAATGCTGGGCAACAATTACTCCATCCTAAACCTCCAAGCCTGCATAGCTTCCTTCCACTTAGATTTCTCACATTATACTTGCTTTTAGTCATAGCTTAGGTCTTATTCATCTCTTCTGCTGTTTCCAGGTCATCTCCTCTCCCATCTCTCTTCTCGAATCCCTTCCCACTTTTGCTTCTCTCTCCTCCCCTCCAGACCAGGATCCCCATTCCTACTCTCTATAGCTCAGATTGGCTGTTTGTATTATGGACAATACAGAGAACAAATGATGGCATGTTTAAAGAAACCTGAGAAAGATGATGTTTAGAATAAACATCACAGTGCAATGTGTTCGGACTGAAACCAGATAGTGGGGTAGAGAAATCAGCATCTGAATGAACAACGGTAAATTGTGTACATTCCACAAAAACATTATACCAACATACTTGTTTCCATTTTGTTGAACTACTTTGGTTTCCCTAACTTCACCGATGTTTCAGGGTGTCCTGAAGGCTCATGTCCACAGTTCTGAGCACTAATAATGCAACATATTTTTAATTTCTTGGCTGAGTGTAATAGAAGTTTATCATGATTTTAAACATTATCACAGTTCCTTCTTAGGTTGTGATTTATGTGTTTTAAAAAATTACATGTGACAACATCAATATACTAAACACACAAACCTAATGAAATGACTAGTTTAACTGAACTTGAACTTTTTTCAAACACTTTATCTCATCATTCTGATCATGTATTATGGCTCTGTCTTCTGTCTTGTCAATCAATTCTCTTCACAGTCTCTGTTTTGCATTAGGGGATGCGCAGATATTAATATGCTGCCATTGTGAATGCTACTCACCTAGAAAGTACCTGTCAGGAAAGACTCAGGTTATGTGCTTAAAGAAATTTTCTTAAAGTTCTTTCCTCAAAATAAAGTGAAGAATGACTGAAAATCATATTTTACCTGTGAATGGCATGCATACCTAGGAAAATCCCAAATGATTACCCATTATCTTCTTTGCTAAAAATATTATATTTAGAGATAGATTATAGAATAGTAATGTTAAAAGCTGGTCATACTACCAACATAATCAAGAATTTTCCTTTAATTACATATGTGAGAATTTAAAAAGCATATTATAAATTAAAGTGATATTAATTTGGGATCTACAGTTATAATTTTGTGATCTCCTTCCACATAAAGAATATTAATGATTTGATCATAGCAATTTCTATGGAAAGCACATCAAAAGAAATGTTCTTATATTTTCTAATTTGTAAAATTCATAGATATGGCCAATGTGAAACAAAAATTTAAAAATTATTGCAATTGTATCACATTATTTTCAGGATTAATATTAAAATATTCCAAAATGTATGAATATGAACTTTATCCAAATATATTAATGAGAAAGTTTGATTGATCACAATGACCATATATTTATTTAAATTACATGCTATTGATGTCTAGTCGTGATACACCATGAGGACTTCTTAAACAGTATTTCACACTAGTGTATTCTGTACTTTGACTATGCTCATCCTCCATCTTTTCTTTTCTGCCCCTTTTATTCCCACCATTCTTCTTTCTCCCTAATCTCACTTACATTATACTTTTGGGTTCAGTGTCATATAGAGTGTCCACATCTTTTTTTAAAATTTTATTTTATTAATTACACTTTATTCACTTTGTATCCCCCCATAAGCCTCTCCCTCCTTCCCGCCAGATCCCACCCACCCTCCCCCTTCTTCACGTATGCCCTTCCCCAAGTCCACTGAGAGGGGAGGTCCTCCTCTTCTTCCTTCTGATCTTAGTCTATCAGATCACATCAAGAGTGGCTGCAATGTCATCTTCTGTGGCTTGGTAAGGCTACTCCCCCCTCAGGGGGAGGTGATCAAAGAGCAAGCCAATCAGTTTATGTCAGAGGCAGTCCCTCTTCCCATTACTATGGAACCCACTTGGACACTAAACTGCCATGGGCTACATCTGTGCAGGAGTTCTAGGTTATCTCCATGTCTGGTACTTGGTTGGAGTATGATTCTCTGGAAAGAAACCTGTGTTCAAATTTCGAGTTCTGTTGCTCTCCTTGTGAGGTTCCTGTCCTCTCCAGCTCTTGCTATTTCCCACTTCTTACATTAGATTCCATGCACACTGCTCAACAGTTGGCCATAAGTCTCAGCATCTGCTTTGATAGTCTGCAGGGCAGAGCCTTTCAGAGGCCCTCTGTGGCATGTTTCTAGGTTGTTTCCTGTTTTGTACTTCTTCTGATGTCCATCCTCTTTGCCTTTCAGGATGGGGACTGAACATTTTAGTCAGGGTCCTCTCTCTTGATTAGTTTCTTTAGATGTACAGATTTAGTAGGTTTATCTTATGTTATATGTCTATATGAGTGAGTATATACCATGTGTGTCTTTCTGCTTCTGGGATAGCTCACTCAGGATGATTCTTTCCAAGTCTGACCATTTACCTGAAAATTGCATGATTTCCATATTTTTCATTGGAGAGTAATACTTCATTGTGTAGATGTACCACAATTTCTGCATCCATTCTTCAGTTGAGGGGCATCTGGGTTGTTTTCAGCTTCTGGCTATTACAAATAAAGCTGCTACAAACATGGTTGAGCAAATGTCCTTTTTGTGTACTTGAGCC